CTTTCTTACTTCTTGTATGATATAGTATGTGCCATCTTTCTTCCAGAATTGTCCCAAATTTGCTTCCTTGGCTTTTGAGTTCAGTGCAGATCCCTGATATTTAGCCTGCAGGTGTCAGCCCACTCTGCCCTTGCTAAATGGGCAGTTTTATGAACATGCTTTTTATGGTACCAAACCTGATCAGATTCTGCATTAAAAAGTGTAGTACCTGAGACCTGGCACTGTTGATTCTGGAGTTGATTCTCTGCTAACCATGATCATCTCTGACCGTAAACTTGGTCCAGTTGCAGAATTTATTAAAGTTGTTAGACCATAGTTTTTTTCTGTTCCACCTCATACTCCATCCTTCTTCCCTTCTGATCTTCTTGTTTCTTGAATTTGTGCCACTCCAACCTTGATTTGTTGAACTGTAAAGAATAGGGGGATTGAATTTTTCAATTTCATGGTATGTAAGTATATTAACTAGTTCTCCCATTTCAAAGCATTTTTTAAGTATATTGATGTTTCTCCTTGTGGAAGCTGCTGTCTGGACAGTGATGGAAGTTTATATTTGTTCTTTACCATCAGAAGAACTAAATGAAAAGTGATGGTAGTGAATAGCTCCCTGTGAAAAGCCTTTAAATGTGAATGCTAACCACAACTGAAAAATGATGTCATACTGCAAATTCAAAAGATGATTGAAACTTGCATATTATCAAAGGAAATAAACTAGAATAAGTGCAGAACATCTTGTATATGATTATTTAAATCAAGTTTAATGTAGCTTGTAAGCAAGCAGGCAATGACAGTCTTCTGTTCTTTTGTTACTAACTTCAAGATACATTGTATACATATGTACATATATACACGTGTGTGTATATATATATGTTTATTCATACACATGCACATCCACCCTTAGTTTGTGTTATAAGTATGTATAATTGAAAAAGAAACAAACCCCAAACCAAAACCTATGAGTAATCTACTTGAGATTCAAATTTCAAGTTTGGGCTATTGTTCCAAACATTCTTTAATAGAAGTTCCGTGATCTTAAAGATTATAATGGCTTTTTAAATTCCTTTACAATAGGATGATTTTGAAAGTTCCTAGGATTCAGGACTGGAATTTATAAAATCCCAAGCAAATAAGTCTGCGAAGCATTTCATTTTAGTTTGTTTGAGAAGAGGATGCTTAAGTCTCTACTTCCAGGTACTTTCCTTTTTAATTGGAGCGAGTTTTTATACTGAGTATCTTTACTGATGTATATAGTTTGTGAGAACTTGAAAAACAGAATGAATTTTTAAAAATACCATATTAATGGGTGAGCTAGTTAAAAATACATTGGGCAAGTCAGTTGCCATTTTAATGGATGAACAGGAGATTTTTTTTATCTGTATATTTGGGAAATCATTAAATGAAGTCCTACAGGTATTAATTTCATTGCATATTTGTTTATTATGTGGATTACATATTTTTTTGAAGTTTGTGGTATAGTTACTGTTTTCTTATATCTCCGATACAACTATTTATTTCCTGTTCTTAGAGAAATAATATATATAATGGAAACTGTTGTGGTAACAACAGATTTGCAATGCACTATAATAAATACCATTATGATAACCATAAACATATTATTTGTTTTGGTGAGGAGAGAGAAGTGTGTGTGTTATAAAACTGTTTGCCCAAAGAAGTTGTGGGTGCCCCATCCCTGGAAGTGTTCAAGGTCAGGTTGGACTGCGCTTTGAGCAACCTGGTCCAGTGAAAGATGTTCCTGCCCATGACGAGGCGGTTGGACTAGATGATCTGTACGGTCCATTCCAACTCAAAGCATTCTGTGATTCACTGGTAGAAGAATATGGAAAATTGTATATGATATGTGTATTTATGTAGCCATGAAGAATAATCTGCTTGTGAGACAACAGTTGTACAGCCCTGTGTTTGCATCAGATACTTCAAAAACATGAACTTAGTTGATGGGGTAGTTTGCCTCTGGTAACTTATGACTGAACAATGAACGTCGTTACTTAAATGGTCTTTAGTGACTGGTTTTCCAGAATAGCTTGAATACAGGTGTTTTTTTTTTAATCCAGAAATAGGCAGAAAAAAAAACAAACTCTGTGATAACACACTGGATGAGAACTCTCATCAACCAACACCCCGAGTCCTTTTCCTCAGGGCTGCTCTCAGGCCATTCTCCGCCCAGCCTGTATTTGTGCTTGGGATTCCCTCGACCCACTTACAGTACCTTGCACTTGGCCTTGTTGAATTTCATGAGGTTTGCATTGGCCCACCTCTCTACAGATTAAGATCTATAAGACGAAATATGTAACATGTACATAGTTAAATATAGTTACAATTATTTACTGTGTGACCGTAAAAGATTTTTTTTTACCTGGCAAAATCCTGTAAATCAGTGCATGAAGAATTTAATAGCAAAATCTTACTGGAATCAAAAGGAATGGTCACAGTCTTACCCTTAAGCATGTCTTGATGTCAACATATTGTGATGGACTCATCTAAAGAAGTCAACTGTACTGTTACTGTACATGTATAAGGTCTTAAAAAAATAGTGTTTGATAGTTGATATTCTGTCAGCTTGTGACTTTCTATTGCACATGGTTCTTTATAAGAACAAATTGATTTGTGTCCTAATGTAATCTGAAAAAAGTAAAGATTGGATTAGAGTCAGCTCTGTTTAGTAGAGTGTAACACTAATGTATTCACCTGCTGTTAATTTAATGAAAGCAAGACAATTCTGGTAATCTCAATAAGTAGAAAATCTGAATAACCTTCATTTTGCCTTTTTCACAGATTTTGCCTGTGTTTGTTGTGTTGTGATCATGGACCCTAGTGTGTTCCATGAAGTAATAAATATTTACTATTTGAACAGATTTCTAGTGTAGCTGCAATGCTGATAGTAGATACCACATGGTGGCTAGCTGCCGAAACCCCATGTATATCCTACAGCTCTTACTACATTAGATAGTGGTATATTGTTTGTATTGTTATGTTACCTTGCATGAAGAAGTGGTAATGAAAAAGCATTTGAACCATTGTCTCTGACACTGGGAGGCTATAGGATTGATTGTAGAGGATGTTTTTGGGTTGGTTTTGTTGTTGTTCCCTGGATCATAGACTGCTTTACTCTTCCCCTGCCATTGGCCCTGAGTCCCTGGTCTGCATTTATGATCACATAAATGCAGCTGCTTTTCTGCAGTGTTTTTCTGTTTTTGTCTTCCCCTGTTCTTTTATGTAGTTGAATACTTCTCTCCCTATAAAGACATTCAGTTTTATTACCATATATTCTCCTAGTCTCTTAATAGTCTGAATGTTCTAAAAAGAGCTTTGAAGAATGCAACTTAAGTGCAGTTGTAGCAGTACAGGTAAACTTCATATTGAAACTGCATGAAACAAAGGAGCATGGGGAAAACATTTCAGACATACTTGAAGATCCAGGAAGGCTTCATGATCATTTTATCCAGCTTATTTAAAGAAAACTCTACTTACATAACTGCTAACTTTTTAAGAAATGTAATTCTAGGTAGGTGAGTTGAGTAAATTGAAGTGTCTGTGATTTATCTTTACTCCGAAAAGACTTTCGAAATGTTGCACATGAGATAGCTCAAAGAGAAGCAGAAGTAGTATTAGCTGGATAATAGTGATACTAATGATAATACTGGAAATAGATAATGAACAAGTGACAGATAAGCTAAAATTAATTTTTATTGGTACTGTTACTTCTGGATATGTGAGTTGCATCAACCTGAATCCTGTATGATGTGGCATTAAGTTTCATATTAAATGATACAGCCATTAAGGACATGTAGAAGTACATAAATTGAACAGTGATATATTTTTCAGATTACTGTAGCTAGGAATTTTGATAAATATGGTGACTTTTAAATCAGAGAGTATGAATAACTTAAGAATTTGGTTTGGCAAATATGAGGTGAGGGTTAATGTAAAGAAGAATAAGATAATAGATTAAGGAAAGAGTATCCCACACAGACATAAACCAAGAAATTTTTCCCTACTGTATAATTATGAATAAAACATGTTCCACAGCATTTTATTGATAGGAAACTGAAAATGAATTTTAAATTCAGTACCATAGCAAGCAAAGACTGATTTGATTTTGAAATAAATATCTAGTTATATAGTTGAAAATTTTGTGGTAAAATCTTGCTGCAGTCTTTGTAGGATTTTTGTCTTACTGAGCAGGTCCAGAAGGTAAGTCATGCTTAGTCAGTGTAGTTGTGATCAGCCTTGGTGAAAAGAGGAAAACAACTTTAATGAACATCTAGCTGGAGCAAATTTTGGGAAAAGAAGGTAAATTCAGCATGTTGATTGGGACTCACGCAAATTAAAAATGCAAGAGCTCATGAAGTATGTGCATTTTCAAATTTTACATTCTCAGTGTGTTTACAAGAGAAAAAAAAGTACTGTTGTCTTAGGTAATTGTAATGAAACAGAGAAAATACGTCTTGGAAAATTTTTTTTTTAATAGCAGAATTTTTAAAAGGTGACATTGAATAAGTTGCCTGCAAGTTTTCTTGTTCTGATGTAAGGATGAAAAAGAGTAATCTCACAGCCTCTTGTACTGCATATTATGACAAATGCTAACGGTTTAATTAATCATCATGATTGTACGTTGCTGCTATTTATTTGTAAATGGGATAGCTAACACCTCAGTTATAGTGAGGATCTGTAAGTAATTTTTATGATGTCAGGGAAACTTCAGGATAAGCTGTTAAATCTGGTACTTTTCAGTTACCCTGGTTATTTTCTCTGTAGCACGGTACTTGAGTTGAATGGGTCACTGGTTAGAGTAATAACCATGTAGCACGTCAGCTGCGCTGCTCTCTTCTATGCAAGATCCGCATTCCAGCCCGTTCAATTCCATTTACAGGGCACAGGGAAAAAGATTTATTCTCGCTTGTTTCTGCTAGTAGACGTACTGAATCTCTATCGCTTAGGCCAGTGTATACTGCTATCATTAGTATTCCATGTCTTTTTTTCAGGACAAAGAAGGAGTGGAGGGTGTATCTGTGGGAGCCATTCTTTCTGACTACCAGAGAGTTCGAGTTGAAGATGTGTAAGAAAATATTAATCTTTATTAGTATACACGTTCTGGAAAGTACTTTTTTTTTTTTCCTAACTCAGATTCTGGAGCAGAGACAGCTGTTTTATTTCTCATGTTCTATGATACCCAATTCATGCAATTTGTTAATATAAGCGTGGGGTGTTTTGTTTTGGTTCCCTCCACCCCAGAATCACGTATTCATTAGTAAAATCCAGTGGAGTCTATACTGGATTTTTGGGGTGCTCTGAATGTGCTTCATGGATCCATTGAAAATACTCAGAGTTTTGATGTGAAAATAGTTGAGTAGGTTCAAAACTTTGATTTCAACAGAAAGCTCACTCAATTCCAGTGACTACAGTGTTGTGGTCAAGTGTCTCTATCTTGCAACAGAGTTTTAATATAGGGGAGCAACCTGTGACTTATTACCAGGAGTTAAATGCAAGATAATCCTTATGTGCATATCTTCCCTTCCTTCCTTAATATCTACAGTCTGTTATCGTTATTCAGGAGCTTTCATTTGTCATTTCTACTGTGCACACTCTTTAAGGCTAGATAGATTTTGCTACTTTTTAACAGTCTCAATTAAAGGAAGACTTATGTAATGAGAATTGTGTGGGTTATATAAGCTGAGATTTGATTTGGGTCTGGAAAAAAATTTTCACTATATATGTCTGATGAAATGCAAAACCACCTTGTGTTAAAAATTATATATAATTTCCTGACTTCCTTAGTTATTTGTTGATGACAAAAGCAAATATCTAGAATACTTTATGCACTGTAAGAATGGTGAAGTTAATGCTGTGCCAACTTGACTCACATCAGCAAGTTATGCAGCATGGGTGTTTTTTTTACACTTTACGTAGGTAAATAGCAATGAGAAATAGCGCCTTTCTTTGTCTTTTCCTTTATACTTCAAGTGTTTTAGTGGCTGCCTGATCAAGTTACTAGATATTTTAGAAAAACTTGCTTTTGTTGATTCTGGGTTTCAGGTCTTTTACCACAGACAGAAGTTTGACAGGACATCACAAGATTTCAGAGAGACCTGATTAATTCTAAGGTCACTCAGTGGTAAAAAAATGTTGCATTGATCTGTAGATATACCCTTTGCAATAAAGTTGTTTCACATAAACCATCCTGGTTACTTGGATTCAGCTCATTTGTTTGCTAAAGTTAGGTACCTAAATGAACTACTGCACATTCAGAGTTGCTGAATATTTCTTTCAATTTCATAGTTTAGTGCTGTGTTGAAATATATGGAAGTGATAACAAAATCACATTATATTGGTGCTAACTATGGATTTCCCTGTCAACATTAAACATCTATTGAACTATAAAGTCTTCACACTAATGCTATATATGTGTCTTGGGGGTCTATCTAACATATGTAAGAAAGCCCATGTATTAGATAAACAGTGATAACTGACAAATAAATGTAATTTTTGAGTGTTCTGAGCTAATCCCGTACTTATATGTTTTATAAGTTTCTCAGGAACTAAACATTACACATTTTAGCACCAGCTGATGGTACTTGACAATTTGCAGAAGGGTTACCTATCGATAGTGCAAATTAGTGATTCTCAAATTTGATAAACAATCAAATGCTGCGTATCAAATGCTGTCTAAATATGATATGTATCAAAACAAATAATTAAATTTACATTAACAAGTTGTTACTTTGTATCACAAGCTGTATACATTTTCCTGAGTGATTCTTTTCCTTGGGTGTTGATCCAAATCACAGGTTTGTTAAGTGTAACAAATTCAGCATATTGTACTAGTGACATGTGCCATATTTATCACAGAGCGGTAACTCTTGCCTTAGCTGTGTTCATAAAAAGTGATCACTTCCTCATGTATTAATTGGTTTGTGTCCGTAAAAGTTTAGGAATGCATTTTCTTATGGTTTTACTTATGTTCCCATTGAAATCTGTTTACATCAGTGAATTACATGTTACTTACATAGATGAATGTACAACACGGTTATTTTTTTTTAATATTAGACTTAATGTGTATGCTGAAATCTAGGAAGAGTAAAGTATTGTAATTGAAATTGTAGAAAATATTGTTTAAAGGGAGGGAATGAGAGAAATCAGTTTTCTTTAATTTTACTTGAATCATGCTGTGTAAAAGCATAATGCTTGGCTTTATCCGATTTTTTGTTGTGTTTTTTTTTAAGATGCAGAAGGCTTGATCTTCAGCCTTTAGCTTACCTTTGGCGTCGGAACCAGGAAATATTGCTTAAAGAAATGATATCATCTAACATTCAAGCCATAATCATAAAAGTGGCAGCTTTTGGTACGTATTAGATTCTGAGCAATATTATCTACTCAGACATGTCTACTATTGTCTACTTCCCATGGACAAATCCACAACATAACAGATAAAACCAGAAATTTTGTTCTATATTTTAGGATAAGAAATGTTAATATCAAGAAAATATAAGAAATTGCATAGCTGAATAACAGTCATGATGTCTGAATAATTAATTTACCTGTTTGCAGTTCACTCTTAGACATGTAAAAGCTGGAAAGTAATTCTTCCTAGCATAGTCATTAAAATCCTTTTGTAATTTTTTTGTTCTAGTGTGGTTTTGGTTTGCAGTAAAGATGCATAAATAATTCAGTGGTTCACAGTATTGTCATTTATAGATGATGCAAACTGGTGGCTAGACTATGTTATAGAACAACCATGAAAGTTTTAATAGAAATACAACAAATTAACATCAAACAAGATGTCATGGTATGAGGCAAAAACATTTTGTGTAACAACAGTCTTTCAGTTGGTAAAGCATATAGCAAACAGAAATAGTTTGTCATTGCCTTAAAAAAAAATGGTATTTACAATGTAGTTGTTTAATATACCAGAAAATCAACGTGTCTTTTCTTTGTCAAATATGTAAAATTAGGTTTGTATAATGAAGCAAATCAATACAAAAGTTAGCCTGTTCATTTATTTTTTGAATGTAAAGATAAGGTCAAATGACATTTTGTAGGAAGGCTTATTGAATTATGTGCTCTATAGTCCTAAGAAGCATGTAAGAAGCATGTTAGTGGTACCATATATTCATTTCAGGCCTCTGTGCAGTTCTTCATATAAGAGTATCAGATGAGGTCTTAAGCATAAAGTGTGACCAAAGGACTTTTTCTTTTTGGGTTGACCGTAATTTGCAGTCTATTGGACCAAAGAATGGCTAGTATAATACAAGAGGATCAGTGGCATCGGTCGCTACAGATGAATGTTTAAAAAAATAATGTTGTATTAGAAGTCCAATGGGTGGTTTATCTGGGCCACTTTCACGTCAAATTCATGATGTCTGTCATCTTTAAAGAATGCTTTATAACAAAGTAATTTATCCTAAATATTAAACAAGAATTGAGTTATAATCCTGTTAGACTGAATGAATTCAGTGGCTTTTTTTTATTAAGTATTTTTTTTTTAGTGTAATTGTTCTTCTTTAGCTGGTATAGTTTCTAACTAGTTTTTACATTATCACTATGATGGTCTTGCTGTATTGTTCTCTAGGATCTGCTAGGGTTTCTAGTGGGATTAAAATTATTAGAAATACATCATTCCCTCGTTCACTTATAGGTAGAAAGCAATATAATTTAATAAAATTTTCCTGAATTTTGGAAGGCCAGTTACTAATACATATTGGAAAAAAAAAATTTTTTAAAGGAATAGTAAGGCCATGTAAAGTACATTTTTATATTTATGTTATTTTTCCACAAAATAGAATGTTTGCATGGCTTATGCTGACATGAAGAAAAAAAAGAAGAATATGTAACATGCTTTTTCACTTAAAAATTATTTTTCATCATACTTAGGTTGTTTTAATTAAGTTTTGTACAATTGAAGCAAACTAATTATGAAAAGGAAAAAACCTACACAAAATGAAACAATTAAATACTATTTCAAATTTATTTGAAAAATGTTAAAGAAATTATGATTTAAATAATAGAGAAAGCTATTTCACAAGTAACCATCATCGTTGACCTGTCTTACGCTTGAAGCAAGATAAGCTTGTCTTTTGTATTCTACAGTCTTAAAAAAACTTAAAATTCACTGCTTAGTGCACAAAGAGTGCTTTGTGGGCTATTCATTGAAGGAGCAAATACCGTAAATACTTGTAGATAGCAATTAGAAAATTACTGTGAGATTTTTTTTCCTTATTTTTTTGGCTACAGGTAAAAGAAAGATCTTATCAGAGTCAATTTCTCACCTGCCTCAGGGAGATGTAATTAGATGTAAGCAAATTTAATGGAGCTTGTGTGCTCTGGGGCTATTCTATAATGCTTTAATAATTGCATGCCTTATTAAAGTGGATTTAAGGTATGAAGTCTGTTTAACATATCAAGTGGCAAAGAAGATAAGATACAGTTTAACTTTTTGCCTCTTAGATTATTAACGAAAGCTAAACTGAATGAAAATATTTAAAATAAGAGATTTAAGAGTCTGAAGGGTAATGCAGTGGATGGCACATTGTACAGATGTTAATGCAAGAAGCAAATCTGTAAGTTGAGCTTGACCTTCATCAGCGCTGGCATACACTCGCCTTGTCCAGTTTTCCATTAACTCAGTGCCAGTATTGGTAAGGTAAAAGCATGAGATTTTATGTAGAAAACACATAATTATGCAAGTAAAGGAGGATTAGTTTAGTATATTTCCCAAAATCCACCATTACGAATTAATACCATAAACTTTGCCAGCGGCAAGAGTTTTCTATCTCAGAGTATTGTGCTTTTCCAGATGGGATACCAATTGCTCTCACATGCAAAAGCACTATTGTTAGCAAGCCTTCTTCACGTGCCTGCTGTTGATCTATAAGTAGATCAGCTTTCTTTCCTTTAGAGTGTATTTTAGAGGCTTTAATGATGAGAGAAAAAGATTCCATGATCTAGCATCAAACCTGAGGAATAATAATTAAAAAAAGCAGCTCTGCATGTTTATCTTCAGTGCCATTTTCTTTCCATTAAAGGTGCCTGTATGATGCATGATACTTTTATATTTGAAATATACCCCTCTTCAGTGGAAATCCCAGAAAGTCAGAATGAAGTTAGTCGGTCTTAGCTAAAGTAGAAGCAGTTATTGATTGTTTTTAACATGTGTGTTTACCTGAAATTCCAGTAATATCCATTGCTCATGTGAGACCGTAATATGGCACAAGCATAAAATGCATTTTTTATATCCTTGTTCTCGACACATTTTACAGATTAAAATGCAAATTAATTTGCAGAGTATGTATATAACAGATACAACTTTTAATCTTGGTAGCTTTATGTACTGGTCTTACCTGTGCCACATTCTGAAGCAAATTGCTTCCACTGCAGCACAAGGTGTAATAGGTGCAAGTGAGAGAAGGACGAAGGTTACACTTGGAGAGAATCTTTTGGTTCCTTACAGTACAGTCCTCAGTGAAAACTGAGCATCGATTTTTAATTTGTTTTACTTTACTTATACAATTAGCTATACCTAAATTTTGTTAAGAATTAACAGTAAAATTTAAGCCCCATTATACAGTCTAAAATGTGACAAAGTTCAGTTCTTATGCAGTTAAAGCAGTTTGTCCTCAGTGATTCTAGTTATTCTTGAAGTTTGAAGAGTAGTGTTCACCTTCAGTAAGTTTTATAAGTGCACTTTGTTAGCCTGAGAAAGTGGGAAAAAAAAAATTGCTTCTTCAATGTCTCAGTGAAAATCAGGATATAAGCTCAAATTTCTCTCTTTTATGGGATTAATATTCATTATTTACTTTGTACATTGCAGCTCCTTCCCAGTTTGGTTATACTAAAGGAATGCTTTATTATTGAATTAAATGCCTGAAAAAATGTTGAAATTATGAGATCAAATAATAGAAATACTAAGTTGAAAAAGCTCTTTCATGGTTAAATTATGTTTCTAACTTCTAGGAGAGAAATTATGACATAACACTGTTCAACAGTTGGTCAATAATAAAATCTGAAACTTTGTATCAGGGCTGATTGGCTTGTGGTCTTCAGCCTACAATTGAAATGGGGCTCTTATGCCATGGCTGCATCCTTTATCTTGAAGGTCCAGCTGCTATGAGTGCTTCTCGACAATCTGCATGCTCAGTCATGGGTAGAGTTGAAATCACAGGGGCTGTGGAAGCACTAAATTTTGGGATAGTGTGGGCCCTGGTTGCTTACCCAGGCTATTTCTCCCCATCAATTGAGTCCTTAGGGAGCCATTGCCATTTCCTGTGTGTCAAGAAATCCTGAAGTTCCTTCTCTAAAATGAGCTGTCTGAAGTACGTATATTTAACTTGAGTCACCTTTGCTCCAAGAAGATCTTGATGCTTGCCTCACAAGGTCAAGATGATTGGTATAGTCCTGCTGTACACTGAATGCTCTGAAAAATTGCTGGTTTAGGGATGTGTATGTTTTTGTATATCAGCTTTTAATTTAGAGAGAATGTTACTTCTCAGTATATTAAATCAGTACCTGTAGCTTTTGTTTATTATTTAAACCTAGCCACCTAGCTGTCTGCATTATTGTTTATTATTTGCATGCCACTAGTGTACAGAAGTGAAATCCTGACTGACTGAAATTGATAGCCGGACCCCATTAATTTTAATGGAGGTAAGATTTACGTCTATAGTACAATGAAAAAGAACTAGCAACACACAGTTCCTGGTTAACCTCTGGAGGGTGTAATTTAGTGTTACAGATAAACTGATCTAATAGTGAGTTGCTGCCAAAAGGTTGATCTTTCCTTCCCCCTTCTATCTGACTCTTCCAAACCACAAGTCTCTACTTGCTTCTGCCCCGTAAAAGCTTCTGTGATTGTGTGGCTGCAGCTGGGTGATCCAGCAGAAGGGAACTACACAGAAGGGAACTTGCTGTGTAGATGGCCTGGCTGCATGGAGGACAAAACTCTCTTTCAGAAGAAAACTTACCACTAAATTGGGTTGCCTGTCATTGCAGATCATATCCTGAAGTAGAATTGGTGGTTGTGCGAGTTTTGTCTGATCACATTATCTGTGCAATAGAAAGGAACAGTGTTCCTTGAAAATGTGTCTCGAGTTTTCAGTACGAAGTAATTTTAAAGTCATTATTTGGGAAATTAAAGGAACTTGGTATATCATTGTCACAGGGGAACATAACTTGCTTCTTCTAGATACTTTCAAAACATTCTCAGGCAGTTCACAAACACACAGAGAAGTGAGAAACATTTTAAGAAATCAATAGGAGATCCCAATTGTTTTCTTCTATATTGTATTGTAAAGATTTGTTTACTTATTACTAAATAAACTAAACATTGGCATAATTCTTTGCTAGTTC